ATTTTGTTATGCTGAATCTGGAAATGTAATCACTTTTGTCATTCAAAGATTTATTTCGTCGTATATTCAATTATAAGTGGCTTAGCCCGGGGCAACGGCTTGCGGGCCAGGCATAGCCACTTATAATCGAATATACTCCGAAATACATTGTCAAATAACAGAAGTGGTTACATTTTCGGATTAAGCGTAGCAAAGTCTAGCTGCAAGTGTCTCTCTTTTTTTGAATTGCGTCTGATTTGAAGAGAAATCTGGGCGTTGCCAGCTCATGCGCTCCAAGTGGCTCAGAAGGTCTATTATTTTTCTATGTAACCTATCCCGTTTGGAAGGGTCGGCATGCAAACCTTAGAGATTTGGGAATGGCAGTTCGAAGCTAGTTAAACTGCAGTTTATTATTAGTTTTCATCATTTTCCGCCTTTGTTCCCAAATTTCTGCACTTGAACTGTAGTTTAACTGCATAAAATTATTGTAAAACTATAGTTCAACTACGATTTTAGCCATAGTACTGAGTACAGATCGTTCCAAGCGGGATATGAACTCGAAATATATAGTTCTTCCAATCCAAAATCGCTAGTGTCAGTCCGTAACGTTTTCCTGTCAGTCCGTAACAACGCACTTTCCCGGGCACAAGTATGGAACGGAATGAGATAAAAACAAACGAGTTGATGCACTAGATACATGGCTCTGAGGTCTAGTTTACGTAATTTTGGACGTTCTGATATCTTTTGTAATTTTAGAGCAATCCGGTCAAATGTACGTGTCGGAAAAACACAAGTTTACTTTTGGTCAGTCCGTAACGCTCACTTTGGGGCCTAACTGCGTGGCCATTTTTTCAGATACAAAAGATGCGGATACGTCTCTAGAAAGGTACTTTTTCTTGCTGTCAGATGCAATTGGGGCGAACTCCAAATGTCGTCGCGTCTTCGGTCTAGGCGCGATTTAATACAAAACAGCGCTCCCAAACGTCAGTCCGTAACGCGTGGACAAGCCCTGTAAACATAAAAGGCTACTTCATATATCAGAGGTTCAATATAACGTTAAAATATTGAAGACTGTAAGGATAGAACAGTCCGAAAACTGACCGTGAACGTTACAAGCACAATCCTCGGACTGTCACCGGACTGTCCGGTGACGCCGGGCTTATTTCGGACTGTCCAGGTTCTTCGGTCTTATTTCGGACATGTCTGGTTCGGACTCGGATCACAGACGGACTGTCCTGGACCACATTCTGTACTGTCCGAGGCATTCGGACTGATATTGGAACCGTCCAGGGCGAGTTTCGGAATGATTTATTTCTATAAGGGTGCGGTTCATTTTATCCTCCAATTAATTTGAATTGCTATGAGATTTACTTTTCCTTGGGGACTTTATATCAAGAGTAGCTACAAATTAGTACTTCTCTGTCTTTCAAGTTATGACAAAAATAGCCGACTACATGACGATTGGGGATTGGGTGACTGGATGACTGGATAGTGACTGGAAAATGACTGGATTGGAATCTGTACACCGATTGGTGGAAGTTGCGGCCCCCTCGGAAATCACGCAATCTTTGCAATCATGTGTACAGCTAAAGAGAGAGTGGTGGCCCCCTCGCTAGAAGGAGATGTGCTAGAGACTTGAAATTTTCAGGGTATCTTAAGGTCCACTCCTAGAAAACGAAACGCCTACGGCAAATCCTGGCAACCACCCCTAAGGGTGTGAATGACGGTATCCAAGGTTCAAAAATTCTCCAAATAAGTTTTTTTTTTAAGTTCTCCTAAGGGGTAACTCGTCAAAGTAGAGCCCTTTGGGCGAAAATTTCGTCCGTTTCGCTCTATCTCTAACTGTTTAGGCGCTAGACGGTCTTTTTTGACGAAAATAAGCTAAAAATTGCCATAGTGAACAATAAGTTGTAGACAAAGGCCTTAAAACCGCAAAATAGGAAAGAAACTCTCCCCCCACCCCAAAAATCTTTTTCTAAGCAGAAGAGTGGGTTGTAGTCGCGGTGCTTTACCGTTACATCCCTTCTCGAGTCTTTGAGGCAAACTCAAAGATGACGGGTTTAAGCGGGCCTTCGGCCCGCTACATCATTCGATCATGTTCTTCAGCAAATCGTATGACAGAAATGGTCGGGCCGCAGGCCCGACCATCGCCGCCGGCAGGCCAAGCAGGCCCGGCCCCTGCCGAACGGAGTTGCTGGCGGAGCGAAGCGGAGCTGGCAACTTCGTTTGGCGGAAGGGCGGGCCTGCTTGTTATGATACAAAAC